TTGCAAGGCTGTGGAAACAGCCCAAGTGCCCATCAATCCAAGAATGGATTAATAAAATGTGGTATATGTATACCATGGTGATATAGCACATCTTATATTTTCCTGGTTAGAGCTGGAACCCATACTATTAAGTGAAGTTTCCCAAGAATGGAAAAACAAGCACCACATATACTCACCAGCAAATTGGTATTAACTGAACAGCACCTAAGTGGTCACATAGGTACTGCAGTAATAGGGTATTGGGCAGGGGGGAGGGGGGCGGGTATATGCATATATAATGAGTGAGATGTCCACCATCTGGGGGATGGTCATCCTGGAGACTCAGACTTGTGGGGGGAGGGGAGGAAATGGGCATTTATTGAAACCTTAAAATCTGTACCCTCATAATATGCCGAAATAAAAAAAAAAAATGGAATTCCCATATCATCCAGCAATTCCTCTTCTGGATATATATCCAAAGTAATTGAAATCAGTATGTCAAAGACATGTCTGCACTCCATGCTCATTGTAGCATTATTCATAATAGCCAAGATATGAAAATAACCCAAGTGTCCATCAACAGATGAATGGATTTTTAAAATGTGGTATATATGTGCCTTTAACATGCAGGAAATTCTGTCATTTGCAACAACATAGATGAACCTAAGTGGACATTAAGCTAAGTGAAATAAGCCAGGCACAGAGAGACAAATACCTCATGATCTCACTTATACGTGGAATCCAAAAAAGTCAAATTCATAGCAGTAGAGAGTGGAATGGTACTTATCAGACACTAAAGGTGAGGGGTAGGCAAAGAAAGGAGAGATGTTGGTCAAAGGGTACAAGATTTCAGTTAGGAGGAATAAATTCTGGAGATCTGTTGCACAATGTGGTGACTGTAGTAAATAATAATGTGTTGTATGTTTCAAAATAGTTAAAAGAGAGTTTTAAATGCTCTCACCACAAAGAAATGATAAATAAGATAATGAATATACTAATTAGCCTGATTTGTTATGCAATATATGCATTTGATGAAACATCACATTGTATCCCATAAATACATACAATTATTATTTGTCAATTAAAAATAAAATGAGGCCGGGCGTGGTGGCCCACACCTGTAATCCTAGCACTCTGGGAGGCCGAGGGGGGAGGATCGCTCAAGGTCAGCAGTTAGAGACCAGCCTGAGCAAGAGTGAGACCTGTCTCTACTAAAAATAGAAAGAAATTAGCTGAACAACTAAAAATATATAGAAAAAATTAGCCAGGCATGGTGGTGCATGCCTGTAGTCCTAACTACTTGGGAGGCTGAGGCAGAAGGATTGCTTGAACCCAGGAGTTTGAGGTTGCTGTGAGCTAGGCTGATGCCACGGCACTCTAGCTCAGGCAACAGAGCAAGATTGTCTCAAAAAAAAAAAAAAGAAAGAAAATTGGACACATAAATCATTTGAGGCAACATGTGACAGATACATGTGCAGTGACTGATGGGAATGGTGCTTTAATGCACATCGTTCATTGCAATTTAGCACAGCTTATTGAACTTTGAGTTGCTACTCAGGGACAATGCATTCAACATGTCTTAGCAGTAAGCTATTTATTATGGATGTTTATATGTTTTCAGACTTTATGGGACCCTGAACAACTTTAATTCAAATGACTAAGTTTAACCTGTTAAATTAATTTGAAAAAATACAAAAAGTATTCCCCATATGAAATCTTCCCTAATTGGTCCCATTTTGTTCTGATGATTAAACTTGTGTAAGTTGCACTATAAAAAAATCCAGTAGAGTACTAGAGAATATCTATGACCGTATTCCAACATTTTGTGATTTAGTGACATTTTAAGGGAGTAACACCAAAAAATAGTATGTATAAATATATAATTATGGAGAACAGAAGGGAACTTCTGGTTGGAACAACTAGGCCTAAAGAGCCCTCATGTCAGCTTTGCTCCTCTTAGAGAAAGGACAGTGATGCTTTCATCCTGACGGATAATCTGAGAGACTTAACCAGTGACACACGCGTGATGATGCTGTTGAAATGGAATTTAACAAGGTGAGGGCATCGGGTTGCTTATGAGCAGCAAGAAACATGAAGTTTCACTGAAGTGCACCCTTTGGAAAGTGTGGGGTATTTAAAAAGTGAGGCCTTTCATTATTCTAATGCAAATGTTGGCTAAATGTACATTTTCTTCAGTTCGGATGTTAAGGTGTCCCTTCCCTGTAGTTTTATTGGGCTATGTGTATATCTCAAGCATTGGTTCACTGATATATTTTGTAAGATTCCAGACTATTTGAAGCATCCCTTTTTAGCCCTATGATGAATATAAAAGAGAGCCTGCCCTCCTGAGTCTTGGAAAATGTACATTTCTTAGAATTATTTTTAAAATGAATCCTAAATAGTTCATCCGTTTAGCTATGGTGGCTGAACATAGGACTCTGTCCTATCCTGAAAACATGTATATCATCATTCAAGGGCATCACCACATTTTAAGGAAGAAAATATTACTATTAAGAAATACGGGCAATTTTGCCAGAGGATAAAATAGGAATATTGCCAGAAATCTGACTTTTTAAAAAATCTTTACATGATTGTTAGTTTGTTTCATTTAAAAATATTAATAAAACCCCACAAGCTTGAGACAAATTGTTATGCACAAAATAATGTGCTAGTGGCACCCCCACCCCCAGGCCAGTGTGAGTCCAGATGCTTCTTTGCTGGTTTATTTCATTTTCTAGGGTCCATTTGCTGCAAATCTTTGTCATGCTTCCAAAATAAAGGAGTCAGTCATCTCAAGTTCAGGTCTTGTCCCAGTGAATTAAAACAAAGTGACACAGATACTATTAGACTAGTGATAACTAAAACCAGACAAATAAGATTTTTTTTTCTCTCATTGGAGCTTGGCAGCATTTTGTGTTTAAAATTTGTGATTGTCTAAATTGTAGGTCAGAGCTAAAGCTAATGAAAACCCGTGGGGGAAAGAATTTTGTGGGTCTGCACACGGAATCTGTAATTCTTCTGTTCAGAGACAATAGCATTACAAAAGAACCTCAATTCTTGAGCAATTCCCCAAGCAGAAAACCCCATTTTGGGGGCAATGTTGACAATGTCTGAATGTCTCAGTTTTTAGGTTGGGGCATAGTCCCTCCTGTGTGGCACTTTGCTAAGTGGACTCAGGTCCACTACTAAGGAAGAATGCATGAGGGCTCTGTGGGGTGTGTCTGTGGAGATTTCTGTGGGCAGTGGGAGGTCTCTGTGCATTGTCTCTTGGTAAGTCCTCCGTGAGAGGTGGCTCAGTGTCATGTCAGCACCAAGTTTCTGCAAGCGCTGGGTGAGATGAGTGTGACTTCTCTGTGTGAAGTGTCTGTGAAATGTGTGAAATCTGCATAAAAGTTCTCCATGGAGCAAGATGAGGTCTCTGCGGCAGTGTGACATCGCCATGTTGTCTCTCTGGGCAGTCTCTGTAGGGGCAGGTCTCTGAGATCTGGGAGGTGCTGCGGGAGGCAGCAATGGAGGACTCTGTGAGGCAGCGGGCATTTCTGTGAGGCCTGCAGTGGGCTCTGTGGGGCATGGCTGTGTGTGGTGCCGGGGTAGGTGCTGAGGGAGGGCCGTGTGGGAACTGTGGGAACCTCAGTGCCAGGCTTCACACGAGGGTCTGTGGGCACACAAGGTGGTGTAGAGGGCTCCACGTGAGGTCACTGTATCATCACCTGGGGCCTGCGTGGTCCTGTGGGAGGCACCGCCTGGTGTCTCTGCACAGGCTCTGTGGGAGGTCTGTGTGGGAGGCTAGGAGCCTTCTGCGGGTCTGAAGGCTCTGCGTGATGGCCCCTCAGAACCGTGTGCAGAGACTGTGGGAGAGCTCCTGCGCTCGCCTCCAGGTCCTGGGTGGCAGGCCTTGGGGGTCCCTGGGCGAGGGAGCAGCTGGGTCGGAGCAGCAGCAGCAGGATCTGTGCCTTCCCCCCCCTTCTAGCCCGTGTATCACATCCCTCTGGCCCCTCGTCCCCTGAAGTCCTCAGGGCAAGTGAGGCCCCGAGACTTGCTGTGGACCGTGGCCAGCCCTGGCCTTTCAAGTCCCCTGCCTGGGAGCTGCCCCAGTGCCAAATGTCCGTAATGGTCACCAGACTGGGATCCTGCCTGACATCTGTTGGTCCTTTCTGAAATTGCAGAGGGATTGTAGGCAGGCCGGTCACATATGCCATGGGAAATGCTTCCTTCTTGCATGAGGGCTTTTTGTCCCTGGGTCCTGCCCTCCACCTTGGGGTTGCAGCCCTACCCCCTTGGCCAGTGAGGGCACTGGGCATGCAGTGGCCACCACATAGGGGCCCATGAGCTCTGCTGCCTTCCTGGCTCCCACCTCTCAGATTCTTCTTCTCCTATGTCCCAGCCTTGTCCTCCAGGTGCCACTCTCCCATGGCTCCTGTGCACACAGTCATGCCAGAAGGGAGGGCCGAGGCTGGGAGGGGGGCACTCCTATCACCAAGCTGAGCCCAGAGGGGCCAGCGGGGCTCATCTCTACTCCAGCCTTCAGCAGGGAGGTAGGGAAGACTGTGGGGAGACTGTCTGATCCCCACCATGAGAATCAGGGGGGGCAGATCTGTCTGTACCTGCACCCAGGGCCAGCACCCCACCCCCAAAACTTCCCAGCCCACTTCGGGGTGGAGGCTGCTTGGCTCCACATTCCTGGCGTCCGAGAGGGAACTTCCACCCTAAGAGGCCTCTGTAAACCCATCGCCCACCACTACACAAAGTTCACAGCAGAGGGAAAGCAGGAAAGATGGGTGAGCCAGCTACCAGGGTGGTGTCTCCACAGGGTTTGCCCATCCTGGCAGTCCTGAAGGCTCTGTAGTGTGACCGAGCTTTGAAAACAAGATGCCATGAGGGACCCCAGGGTCAGGGTGGGTCTGCAAGGCCCCGTCAGCCTCCTCCATGCCCCTCCCTTCTAGAAGCCACACTCAGGGAGAGCGGACAATAACCTCCCCTTCCTTGTGCGCCAGCAGCCCAGAGACAGAAGCCACCACCTCTGATGAGAAAACACACAATCTGATTGGAAGGATCACACATCTCAGTAGGAGGAGCCATTAGCACATCGGGGATGTGCTGCCATAGGACAGAACTCGTTTTCTCTGCCGGAACTGGACTTCTGAGAGAAAGGTTCGCTCACCAGGAAAGGTGGGAGAAGTGTGATCTGGTTGACCAGGCAAGACACCTTTAGGTAGACAATAGTGCCTGGGGCAGCCGACAGCGTGGTTGGAGGCTCTTACCACCCTTGGCCAATGCTGGCAGGGCCTGGCTGGGGGGGCCCGGTTGCTGTTCTTGTCTCGGACCCACCTGTTCTTGACAGGAGAGCTGTGGCCCACAGGAGTGGCTTGGTGACTGCAGGCAGAATCACTCATCACTCTCCTTTGCTGCGGGTGGGAGGGGCCTCTGTGGTGGCTGTAACGCCCACCCACTGTGGCCTGGAGTTCCTCTCTGTACCGATTTCCCTTCGAGGCAGGAAGTTCATGGATGGGCCCAGTTTCCTCCTCTAGGATCTGTCCGACAGTGCTCACGAGCCCCCGCACTTTATCCATTCTGGCGTCCGTAAATGATCTGCCTGTGACCCGTCCTGAGCACTGGGCAGTGGCTGATGCAGGTTTACGGTTTTGCCGGGGCTCTCCCTGCCCTGTGTTTTTCTTGGGGAAAATCCACTGCAGAAACTGCCTCATCTTGTTCCTAAAGAAGCTTCCTGTGGAAGCCTGTCTTTTATTTGGCAGGAGCTGGGAGGACTTGCTTCTTAGTGGCTGTGCTAATTCCCTGTCCTGGGAAGGGCGGCTTATACCATTGGTTTGGGAGGTGGTCCTTGGTCTTGCAGACCTTTGTTTTTGCCCCCCTGGCTTGGGCCTCCTGCAGCGCTGTCTCTCGTCAGTAGGGCCAGAACGCTTGCTGAGACTCTCACGTGGCACCCCCATGTCAGCAGTGGACTTGCTGTGGGGGCTGGACAGAGTGGCCGGAAAGGCCCAGATGTCTACAGCCAGAACGTCAGGGTCACAGTCTCCAAGGAGGACACCAGTGGTGTGGTCTTGGAGGAGGACATCTGGGGCAGGGCCTTGAGGCTGGTTCTCTGGCTCCACCTCCACTGCGAGCTCACACTCACTAACACTTGGAGCATTAAGGCATAGCTCTTCTGGCACCTGGGGGACATAAACTATAGAGGGTTGGGAGCTTTTGCTGTTGCTCAGAGACCCTGAGCTCAGGTTGACATTAAGGGTGTGGGAGTCTGCCCTCACGCTGGCTCCCAAGGTGGCTTCCCAAGCAGGGCGTTTCTCTTCCTCAGCCTCCACTGGCTCCTTGGTCTCCTCGGCCCCTGAAGACTGGGACCCTACGGTGAGCTGCAGCATTGACTCACTACGATGGAAGTATCCTGAGGCCATGCTCTCCTCTTCCTCCCACGGCTCACTCCTGGCCATTGCTGGACTTGGACTCCGCTCTGGGCTGCCTCTCCTGGGCCCCAGAACTGCCTCACTGTGCCAGGTTCTGCATGTGAGGGGCTGAGGAGGCCACCTGCCCTCCTGTGCAGTAGAAGGAGCTTCTGAGTGTCCACAGTCGTCACCAGACTGAGTCTCTCTCAGGTCCATCTGGACATTCTCTCCCACAGGTGAGGGGGCAGGGAGAAGACCAGTCAGGGTGAGGACTGACATTTCTGTTATCTCCTCCTCTCCCGGACCTTCCCCAGGATCTTCTCCCAGGAACTTGACAACCTCGGCTGTGGAGTTATCCCTAGATTCACAGGTGGCCCAGGAGGGAAAGGTGGAGAGTGGAAGGGGTGGAGGTTGAGCCTTTCTCAACATAAAGAGATTTTTCATCTTGAGAATCTTGAGGGGCAGGCCCCACCTGTGCCTCACCCGAAACCTTCTAACATGTGCTTCCAGCACAGGCTTATGGCCTGGATCAAGGAGAAGTTCCCGAGAGGTGTCTTCACAGGATTCCTGACCCTTTGAGGATGCTAGATTGCCAGTTTCCACATGAGTGTTTGCGTTTTCAGAAGGGGCCAAGGCTCGGTCAGTAGCAAGCCTGGAATGATGAACACTCACAGGGATCCTGCCGTCCTTAATCTGCTCCAACTTCCTGCTCAAGTGGACTTTCAGGATGTCTTCTACATGCTCCTTGTCTGAGCTTCCTGGTAAGTCATTTCTTGTGTCACTTCTTGAGGGTTTCATCCAGTCGCTTTCTGACTCCTCCTCAGATCTGGCCCCTGGGAGCACCACTAGGGAGCGGTCTGAATTGCAAGATGGATCTGAGTCACTCCCTGGACAGTACGCCAGATCCAGGCTCGGGCATTTCCATATCTGAAATGTTGCTGGGCCCTTGGACTCCATGTCCTGTACATCCTGGCTGCTTCCACCTGCAAAGGCTGAAGGCCAGGAGTCCCCTTGCTTCTCCGTTGCCTGCCCTGCCCTTGGAAATCTGCCCTGCGCCTGCGCCCTGCCCAGAGACGGCTGGTTCCTGGAGGGCAGTGTGGCCCGGTGTCGTGTGAAGCTTGTTCGTGGATGTTGCTCCCAGGGCTCAGGGATGATTATATCTCCTGGGCCGCTGGAGACTGACTCGTGGGTCTGGGAGGCCCAGCTGTCGGGAGTGAGCTGGTGAAAGACTTCCTGAGAATTTTTCACTATAGTGGGTAAGGCCCTCCTGCTTTCTTGTTGCTTCTTCAGAAGGTGACAATCTAGTTGTTGAACAGCAGTTAGGATAGGAAATTGGGCCTCCATATGGACTGTTGGGCAAGATGCTCCACAGAAAGGTATCTGAGGTGAACAGCACAGTGGGGTCGAGAAAGAGGGTGGGAGACAGACCTGGGGGTGGATCCCAGCCAGAGGGAGCTGGGGCAGGGCCATGTGGTGGGGCCAGGACTGGGGCAGAAGGAATTGTGGATGTAGCTTAGCCTGAATTTGTACGGTAAAGGAGTTAGAGAATCCATTGAATACAACAGAGGGGAACTCTAATGGGGGACCAGAGACCCTGACAGCAGCCACCAGGGACTCGCTGTGCAGAGAGGGGAGGCCCCAGAAGAGCTGGCTGCATTTCTGCTGTAAATGGTCCCCCTTGGCCTTGGGATGGGAGAGCTGCTGGGGACCCAGCAGCTGCTCTAGTTTGCCTGTCATGTTGCAGAAGCGCTGTGGGGTTGTGTCCCGATCTCCGCTCGGCGACTTCACCATATTCCCCAGGCAACCCCAGGGGTAGTCTGGGCTCACTTGTTTCAGAGATGACCCCTCCTTTTCGTTCTCCTTCCTCTCACCCATTAGCGTCTCCAGCAGGTCCTGGACGTCAGTGTGGATGAAAGGGGGGCCACGAATCTCCATCTGCCTGTGCGTGGCGTCTTCCCAGGAGGAAGCCTCTGGTGGGCGGTTGGAAAGATGCCCCTGCTGGGATTTGCTCTCGGCTGAGGTGGAGAGGCTCCAGGCTCTGCCAGTTCTGGCAGCCACCTGCCACCAGGTGAGGGTTGAGACGGTGTCACTTGTGCAACTAAGGTCTGAGATCTTTGAGACGGGAGGAGGCAACCAACAGTTGTTATAGTGTGGAGAATAGCTCTGTGGGACAGTGCCCAGTGGGGGCGCCATTGAGTCACACTGAGCATGAGCCAGGCTGAGTCAGGGAGGGCAGAGGCAGGCCACGGGAGCAGGGACCGTGGTGTGGGAGGGAAGGCCTGTGGCTGGGTGAGGGCGTTCTGGGGCAGCAAAGGCTCTGGCGGCGCGGCAGCACTCAGGGATGACTGTGATGATCCGCACAAACTGGGAGGCTGTCGACCTGGTGACAGCTGGAGGCCAGAGGCGGAGGGCTCTGGCCAGGAGCTGGCGATGCCAGTGGAGACGAGGTCGTCGCGAAGCATCTTGCACCACGCTCGCACTGGCCGGTGGGCGCTGGCAGGTGCTGGGTTGCCCTCCTCCGGGGTCTGGACATGAGAGCTGATGAGAGCCCCCTTGTCAGGGAGCTTCACCTGGCAGCTGCAGGAGACAGGAGGCACAGGCTATAGCAGGTGGGTGGGTTGGGCCAGGCAGGTGGGCACCTGCAGCCCGCAGGCCCCTTCCTCCGCCCCACGATGACATCACAAATCTCTCCTCTCCCTGGCCCCAAGGGGCTCCAGTCCACATCCCAGCTGGGATTCCCTGATCTCCCCTCCCAAGTCAGTCCTAGGGCCCTGGGGTGGTCATCCCAGGCCCTTGACGGAAGGACTGGGGAGAGAAGGGAAGGTGTTCTCACCTTCTGCAGAAGCCAAAGGTTCGCAGGTTCCCAAGGCCCCCAATCCAGTTCCCCTCCGGCAGTCCTCTGATAAGCTGGAATCAGGGATTGAGTGTAGGTGGGAAGGGAGAGGCTTGGGGATGCTCCACAGGAGGCTGAGTGGCCCTCTAGGGGCAGGGACTGGGGGGGTTGGACCTTGCAGCCCATGGCCTCACGTGTCCCAGCCACGGTGACACCGAGATGGCAGCAAGAGAAGCCGTGGTCCTCAGTGTTTACCTTGTACACCAGTGGCTCCCACGTCATCCCCCAGGTCCCTCACACCCCCTGTGCGGCAGAAAGCAGGGTTCCCTCAAGAAGAGGAGCCAGGCTTTGCCAGGGCGAGCAAGCCGTCCACAGTCGGGCCTGGAGGCCCCACCCTCCGCTCCAGGCCCCCTAGCAGCCGCCCCGCCCCCCAACCTTGCTTCATGCCCAGCGGGATCTGAGAAAATTCCCCGCTCTGATTTCCTTCCCGGGGGATGCCCACAGGCCTTCCGCCAGCTTTGACTTTCCTCAGAGGCTGACCCTTCAGGACAGCGGAGGCTAAGTCCCTCTGGGGTTCGGGGGAGCAGCAGGCTCCTTACCTTTCAAGAGGGCCGCTCCTCTTCCTGCTCCGGGGCCGCCTCCCTCCTCCTTTCCGCTGACACCGATTAAGACGGGGGAGACTGAGCTGGCCGTCCTCGCCCGCCCCCCAGACCGGCCGAGAAGACGGGCGAGACCGAGGGGCTGGGCCGGTCCTCGCCGCCCCCAGGGAGCCGGCCGAGAGACGGGGAAGACTTGAAGGGGCTGGGCGTCCCGCCGCCCCCAGACGCCGAGAGACGGGTGAGGACCGAGGGGGCTGGCCGTCCTCGCGCCCCCCAGACCGGCGAGAAGAACGGGACCACTGGAGGGCTGGGCCATCCCTCGCCGCCCCAGACAGGCCCGAACGAGACGGGACCACTGGATGGGCTGGGCCGTCCTCGCGCCCCCCAGGGACCAGCGGAAAGAGACCGGGGACAACTGAGGGGCTGGGCCGTCCTCGCCCGCCCAGACAAGCTGCCGCCTTCGCTCATGGTGTACGTGACCTTCGGCAAACCGAATTATGGTCGCTTTTCGTTTGTTTTTCTTTGCTTTCACTCATTTTTAAATGAAGGGGAAATTATTTCTTGTCCTCCTCTGAGAACACAGGAGTGGCCACCAACTGGCATGGAATGGGCCGCAGTGTCTTGCGTCACTGTTTCCTTCTTGCTGGAGAGCTCGCCCCCTGCGCCTCGCAGGATTCTGCTGCCCGAGGAGGCCAGAAGGCCGCCCAGCCTGGCGGGGAGGCGCTTCGGGCTTCGGAGGGGCAACGCCAGTCGCCCGCGCAGAGTGAAGGCGCCGCGGGCCGCAGCCACGGGAAGGCGTGGTGACCTCAGGAGCGCAGCGCCTCCCCAGATTGCCGTCCTCCCCAGGGATCCTCGTCTCCACTCAGAGGATCTCCCGTCCTTCAGAATCCCGTCTCCCAGATGATCTCGTCCTCCCTCAGAGATCTTCATCCTCCCACAGAGTTTCTCACTACACACAACGAAGACCTTCGTCCTCCCTCAGGGATCTCCGTCCTCCCTCAGAGATTGCTGTCCTCCCACAGAGATCTCCGTCTCCACAGAGAACCTCCTCTCCTGTCGCGAGCCGCGCTGGCCTTGAGGCCCGAGTGGCCCCGCCGCGCGCGTCCAGAGCTTCCCGCAGACACCTCCGCCCGCCGCCGCCGCGCCCGCCCGCCTAGAGACGACAGCCGCGTCCCAGCCGGAGTCTCCGCTGATTCGGAAACATGGAAATGACAATGGAAAGAGGAGAGGATGACTGTGTCGGGGCTGGGCTGAGGCTCCTACCTTCCTGACGCTCCTTTTCTTCGCCGGCCGGCGGCGAGGACGGGCCGCTCCCGAGCAGGGGAGCAGGAGGCAGGAAGAGCCCCAGCCACACAGGTGCCCAGGATGAGGTCCGTCACCCAGGCGGAGGAGCTGAGCTTCAGCCATGAATCACTAACGCTACTCAGAGGAAACGGATAATTCTCCATCCTTCTGAATCGCACTGTTGCCCTAAAGCAACTGAGCCTGGGCGTTGCCTTGGCCTTTGACCAGGCCCAGGCGGCATCACAAGAGCTGTGCTCGTCACAGAGGCTCTGGGGTGGGGGAGGGGCGGCGAGAAGGGGGCTGGACCACGGCCCTCCCCACCCCAGCCCTGCTCAGGCTCCAGCCCCTGGGCCTTCCAGAGCCCGCCTTTGACTCCATCCTCCTTCAATCCGTCAGATATAGACCTTGGTCAATTTTCTATTCCTCCCCCCGGGACCAGATATTCCCTGGTTCCTTTTATCCATTGGAGATCTTGGCTTGAGGTCCATCTATTTTATGGCCCTGGAAAATCTGAAGTTGACCCTGGAATTTTGGCCATGTCCCAGGGTTTTTTACTCTCAGAATCTCCTTCGTCTTCAACTTCAGCTTTCCCACACGTTTTTGTCTTAATATCCATGCAGGGACAGCACTTAAGTTTCTTTTACACTTAATTAGCTTTGTAAATTTTGAATAGTAAGTTTTTTATTTCTGTCCCATTTTGATTCAGAGGGACCTACATACATTAAATTAAAATAATTATTCAAAATTCATAATTCTAATTACAAAAGAATTATAGGTAGTTAAACCTTCAAATGGTATTTCTGTAAGTGTGTAGCATTTACAATTTTGGAATTAGTAAAGCTTAAACTGCACAAAGAGTTTGGGACTGCTGTACAGGTATACCTCAGAGATACTGCAGGGTTGGTTCCAGACCACTGCAACAAAGCAAATCACACAAAACTTTTGGTTTTCCCACATAAAAGTTATGTTTATACGATACTGTAGTCTATTTAGTGTACAATAGTGTTAATGTTATGTCTAAAGCAACAATGGACATAACCTTAATTTGAAAATGCTTTATTGCTTTTTATTTATTACTTTATATAACAATCATGTGAGCCTTTAGCAAATCATAATCTTTTTGCTGGTGGAGGGTCTTGCCTCCATGGGATGGTGCTGACTGATCAGGGTGGTGGTTGCTGAAGATTGGGAATGGCTGTGGCCATTTCTTAAAATAAGGCAACAATGAAGTTAGCTACATTGATTGACCCTTCCTTTCTAGATTTTTCTGTGGCATGCAATGTTGTTTGATAGCATTATACCCACAGTAGAACTTCTTTCAAAATTGAAATCAGTCCTCTCAAACTCTGTTATTACTTTATCAACTAGTTTATGCAGTATTCTAAACAATATGTTGTCATTTCAACAATGTTCACAGCATTTTCACTAAAAATAGATTCCATCTCAACAAACCATTTTTGGCCAGGTGTGGTGGCTCATGCCTGTAATCCTAGCACCCTGGGAGGCTAAGGCGGGAAGACTGCTTGAGCTCAGGAGTTTGAGACCAGCCTGAGGAAAAGCAAGACCCCATCTCTACTAAAAAGGAAAAATTAGCTGGGTGTCATGGTGCACACTTGTAGTCCCAGCTATTCAGGAGGCTGAGGCAGGAGGATCACTTTGAGCCCAGGAGCCTTGCCATGAGCTATGATGATGCCACTGCACTCTATCTGGGGCAACAGAGTAAGACTCTTTCTCAAAAAAACAACAATTTCTTTGCTCATTCATAGGAAGCAAAGTCCTCATCTGTTTAAGTTTTATCGTGAGATTGCAGCAATCTTAAATTTTAGTGTGGTTAAATTATAAATCTGTTCTTTAATGGGTAGTTCTTTTATGACTGGTTTACGCAGCCTGACATACCACAAAGTCAAGAAAATGTTGTTCTATATGCTCACTCTTTTAAATGTTTTATAGTTTACTTTGCACATGTCGTGGATCGATATTTACATATGGTTTGAGGAAGGATTTCAGTTTTCTTCCCATATGAATACCCAATTGTCCCAGTACTATTTACTAATTTAAAAGATTGCCTTTTTCTCTCATTGTTCTTCAGTGCCACTTTTCTGTTGTATCATGTCTGTATTTGCATGGGTCTGTTTTTTGTGTTCTGTATTCTTTTATCTCAATCTCTTTTTTAAATCTTACCACCAATACTTCAGTCTTAATTTGCTTTAAAATAAGTGTTAATATCACACCTTAATTTCATTTT